GGCCTGACGTTCTCCCGCGATTCGCCATAGTTCTCCATAAGAAATGTTACATACTAAAAATTGTAAATATAATTACGGTAATGAAAATGTTACTAAGATAACAGAAACATATACTGATTAATGCCGAAATTCAAATTTCGTTATACTGTATTCTGATGTCTAGAATTTATACCTATTAATTACTCCTGAAATAATAAGTAAACTACTTGTAAGTATGTTGCAAGTATGTACTAAATATGCGTCTGTATTCGAAGTTTATTAAAAATCATAGCGTCTGATGTCGGGTAGCCGTGAGAATGAAGACAGCGGTAAACACGAAAACAGTTTTAGGATCGTAGTCAGATGCCAGAGCACGTGAAACAGTTGACGACTTTGGCGTTACAGGGAAAGTGTAACCACTACGCCACCGACGCCTCCGACTATTTTCACTGCTTAATGTCGTAATTAAGCGAAACGATGTTATTGCCTTCGCGATCGCGCGAGACATTTATGTCTCACATAAACGAAATGCTTATTAAAGGCGCTTATGAATCATCCCCAGCGTTAGGTTCTTATTAAAGAAATGAGGACTGGAACCTCCTACCTCCTCTCTATACCTAACATCTTAAGCCTGAATAAACTGCTGTAGAAGGAGTTACAAGGGAGAATAAAACTAGCTGGGGGTTAAGGATGATCAGGATATTTAGTAAAAAAACAAAAAAGAATTTTTAACCCAAATAAAAAAGAGATAGCTTAGTAGATGATGCCTGTAAGGATTTTTTTTAGAAACGAACGAAATAATGTATTGTCAATCATTATTAATCATTATTAATCAATCCATATTAGTGGCAAATCTCTACAGACTGAGCTTACTACATTCTCCACTGCTATTTATTAAACGCACTCTGTTGGGAAGTTCCAGTGACGTGCCGATGAGAACCAACAAGTCTGAATATGGGTCTAAAGGCCGTGGTCGATTGGAATTTCTTCCCAATATTTCTCTAGCACGAGTAGCGTGCTTCTTAAGAGGTCCTTCCATCTCTGATGCTGGATGTGTACTTGAAATTCCATTGGATTTTTGTCTTTGGAACGTATGATTACGAACGGTATCGATTATTCGTTTTGAGTGAAAGTAAATCGTTCGGGGTGTAAACAAGATGTTGGGGATTGTAGGGCAACCCCTTGAACCGACCCACTCCTCGTTGAACCCGTTAATTCCGTTGGCGTGTCATGGGACGGACGTAGTAACACATTTATCTGTCGAAGGAGGAGTGCGAATGCCATCCGTGCGACGACGAGGGTGAAAGAAACGACGACGGTGTTTACAGCGTCGCGGCGGCGGAGGCGTACACGTCGACGGCATCGGCAAAGTCGAGGGCACGCGATCGCATAACTTAACCACTTGACACTTTAGCTAATATAATCAGGGTTGCTTTTGTCGCCTCTAATTTATGTGCAAGTCGTTGTTGTTCGTTTTCGCTCGAACGCCTCTTTCTTCCTCCGTAACGCTTGCCCCGGCACTCTCGCCCCCGGAACCGTCGAGCTGCTGCTTGTGGGAAACAACCCCGAAGCTGCTCTCCTATTTTCCGGACCATTGGGCCGGAGCAAACATACAACCGCACACGTCCAAACGACCGCTGCCGCGAAAAAATAAAATGAAATAAAGAAAGCAGTGAAAAATGTGAGAGCGCAGAGGAAAGTTTCCCTGATCCGAAGTGGATTGTCTACTGGTGCATTTACCAAAAAATTAGATGAAAGAAACCCATTTTGGGGTGTCTATCAGTCTATATTTAGAACAAACAGCATATTGTTTCCTTATAAAGGAATTAATGTGAAATGATCTGCGCTACACTGAACGGCGCATGAAATTAGTGAAGAATATCGCATAATATTTTTGGTAATATCAAATTTTTTTACTGGCTTTGGACAAGTGCAAGCAACCAAACTTAGAAATGCGGTGCTTTCCAACCTTGAAAGGGTGGAAGTAGCAAACAGTCAGTTAGAACGCATTTTCTTTGCCAAAGGAAAATAATCTAAAGAACTTTGTAAAGAATTGAAAGAGTATTGGGATCCGTCAAATGGGCATACACCATCTGGTGGCAAAATTTATCTCGAATGAGGGAAAAATTTATAAAGGAACTGTGCACGCAAATTGTAAAATTGTTTATTAAAATAATAAAAAAGTAAAAATTTTTTTGATGATGGAGTCGAAGTTTTCTTCTAAAGTTAAATCAAATAAAAAGTTAATATGTTCAGTGAAAATCTGCAATAGCACTTCAGACATAGATCTTCACTCTTCACCTACATTAACTACTTTCCAATAAAAACTAACCGTTTTATATATGTAAAAAATATATTCGGAAAATTAGAGAAAAAAGTAAACTAATAGAAGCTTGGATGAAAGTAGTAGGTATCAAAGAAGTGAATTCCGGAATAAAAATTTGTTCACGTCATTTTATGATGATCATGATTATATTTCAGCAAGTATTTACCATCAGCCATAACCTTAATATTTAAAACTAGAATCATACTAAAATTATAAAGTGAGAAATTATTTATTCCTGTGTAATTGATTTAACACAATTCTAATGATACGATATAAGTATTTTGAGGTTAAGAACCTACCTGCTGCAATACGACAAAGTTGCAATAATGTGTTTTTGCAACGTTCTCTTAAATCTGCTTTGCACGTGCAAGTCATTGATATGATTATATAACGTGAATCACTTTTTAAATCCAAAGTTTGTAAAAAGTAGGCAGTAAACTTGACGGAATTTGAAGGCTAGCTTTGTTATTTCCGAATTTTATAATGTGATTGACATTAAAAACACGCTCACCTTCAACGAAATTTCCTTTCCGAGGCTTTGTGTCAGCCCAATCACATATTGTGTAAATACTTATCATTTTATCGTAATTTAAAAACTTGGAACTTGCACGGTACACTATAGGAACTACGATAAATTTTCCCTAATCAGCGCCATGTTTTTAGGCTCCTCCCATTTGACGGATCCCAATACTTTTCGAGTAGGTGAGGATAGTTTACGTTGTTTTCGACGTTTCTTTTGTTCTATACTGGATAGTTTGACCCTTGCCTAAATGAAACAAACGAACAAATAACAGTCCGGAATGTCGGGCATCTGAAACAGGTGGCGGCGGGGTTGAACCGCGTGAACGTACGGGACGCCAGGACCCTGGATTGTTTCCACTAATTGCTAAACTTTGTCGAAGATTTTCCGTAAATGTTCACCCGTCGCGCTCGTACTATGTACCGCCGCGACCGCTGCTAATCGGTGTCATTTCGTTTAGATTGGAATCGGTTTTCGGCGTCAATGTTCGAAGTTAAAACGGCTGCAGCAGCAAAAGTATGCATTTAATTCGAGTTGCACAACTTCCGGCGCAAAACTTGGTGATTGGATCTACTAAATTATCGAACGGCGGATTTCGTAGTAGTCCACCCAACTCGACGAATAGTGAGAAGTAGGACTAAAATATTTGCCCTTTAGGCATATTGCATCTACAATGGGCTCCTAACACATAATTTTTAGAGAATATTATTTAATTCATAACCGTTATAGGGTTTAGTATATTACTTACTACAGGGGAAAGGGTGAGAAAAAGCTTCCTCCAAAAGAGAAAGAAAGGTTTTCTCCAAAAAGAAGGTAGAAAAAGCATTTCATAAAAAGGGGGAATATGAGGAAGCAACGTATGTGACAATGAACAAACATAATTTTTAAGGTTGTTCCATAAAATTTTGATTGTTTTAATACATAATTCGTACCCTGTGGCAAGAGCCCTCTCAAAAATAAATTTTAATTTTAACAATAAATTATTGATTCATCTATCGCTTGTTTGTATGCTCCAGTTGTACGAGCATTCCCTGATTCCTTCATTAGGCTCAAAAATTGAACTTTTTATTTCTCAAAAATCGGGAGCTTTTGTCAATTCCAGCCACGAGGAGCGCTTTTTCTACCCCGTCTCCTCCCTGAATATTTACAAAAATGAATAGTTTTATATTTCATTTTATTTCCTCACACACTCCTTGGTAGAAGAAGCTATTCCTATTTCTGTCTCCTACCCCAACTCCAATCAATTTGGTATAATAAGTGGCACAGTGAAACAACTCTGGCCTTATATATTGGTATATTGATGTTATCTTAATTATATATTGGAATAAGAGTTTTGTTTAACTCCAGTATTTTATCATGGAAAGAGCATCGTCCTTCTGATGGTTGAGGCAATAAAATGAATTAGAACACAACATATTTTTAAGGCCGGTAATGTAATTAGATTGATTAAATCACCCCAGGATATTGTGATTCATTTAAATGTATAGCATTAGCGTTAGTATGATTTAATAGTAAATAGTATATTAAATCTAAGCTATTTGTTGCAACGTAACAGGAAATTCCACAATTTTGGAAAAATTATAAAACACTTTATTTTGCTCAATTGATTTACAAGACTGAAAGGTTCGGTTTATAATTTTTTTTTGGACTGTTTCAGGAAGATAAGTAGACAGAAAAGTTTTAAGGAATATTTGTGTTAGATCAAATTGAGTTGCCTTGAATGCGAAAGAGGAAGAATTCAGCGATGAACTTTTTCATTAAAAAACACTTAGGATTAGCCTTTACGCTTGTGTGCTTTTAACGGTTGTTCCAAAACTTTGTTTACAAACACTTAACGGAAACGGAAAAAAGATAGCAAACTAATGATTTATTGGCAGGTGGGGAGGTGTGAAAGTTACCAAACTTCTCAAGTATTGCTGATATATACGATAATCCTCTAACACGTTCATTATTTATTGGATTTAATTTTGCCTTGCCATTTTCATGGTATTTTTCCTACTAAATTTTCCACTTTAGTAGAACTTTAGCTATAAGTAGATAACTTATTGCACAAATATGAAGAACGTTTATCGTTTAACTTACTGCCAGCGTGTAATTAAATTAAATAGTAGAGGACAAGGTAAGGTGTCTTGTGGAACACCAAAATGCACATTCTGGTAATTAAAGTTAGCTTACCTGCAAGAGAATTCGGTCTCGCCCAGACATAGTTCCATACATTCCTGTCTAGAATTGACGACCTGATGACCTTTGACATGACTAGCGAGGCGATAATTTTGAACTCTGTCGACGCACCACGACCTCTCGCATGGCTTCACCGCTAAACAGTTTTTCTGGGCATAGATTGTGTAAACCGGAAACTGTGATTTAGTCAAGGCACCTGCAATAGAAAGAAGAACACATAAAAATTTAATTGGATGTAAAATGTTTCAATTGCATAATAATATGATGGTAGATACATATATTCATCATCATCATCATAGGGTTGTCAGTCTTAAGACTGGTTGGACACGTACCTCCACTCTTTCCTGTCCTGAGTTAATTTTCGCATTTCCCTAAAAACTAGAGTGTTCCACATCCTTAACTATTTGTGAAACGCAATCTGTTCCAGGTCTACATCTACTCCTCCTAACTCCTGCTTTTGCCTCTAATATATCTCTGACAGCCTTTCATGCCTGAGAAGGTATCTAGCCTATTTCTTATTGATTTCTATTAGAGTCCTCCGTTCTGCTATTTTTTCTAATGCCTCTTTATTTCTAACTTTCTCTATCCACAGTATCCTCATCATTCGCTTGAAGCACCACATTTCGAAAGCTTCTAACCTATTCCTTTCCGCCGCTCCCGCCGTCCATATATCACACCCTTACAGCGCCGCCCCCCATACACTTTTAACAATCTTTTTCGAATTTCTAAATTAATCGTTTCGCGAGCATAAAAGTGACTTCTTTTTATTGAAGGCGACTCGACCCTGCGCTATCTCTACTGCTGACTTCCTAGATACCGAAAATCAGTCACTTTTTTTAATTTTCCGTCCCCTATCTTTATATTCACCCTTTCCCTTTTTCCTTTATTAATTTTATTTTTAGGGATAACGTTTGGCGTTTAGTTAAATATGTTAATTACACCAATATTGATCAAAAGTACGTATGCTACTATTGTATTTCTATCTATCTTCAATATGGAACAACAATTCTTGTTTTATTCGCTTATTTTGTGTACCAAGTACCATAGACTGCATAATAGCTGAAGGTGTTGCCTGTACGTTGGTGGACACAAATTGTATCAAATTTTTATTGGTTAGAATCGAAGGATGACGCATATTAAGGGTTGTTTATTAGATGTTTCATCATTATGACGGAAATATGAGACGACTGGTGCTCGATTTTCCTAGAAGGTGGCAAGATATTATTGGTTGTGAGTTTGAGGAAGTGAATAAAAACGAAAAACGTGGGAATTACAAGTCTATAACTTTGTACGTCCCGTGCTACGGAATTATACGCTTTCCGCCTCTGTAATTGTCTCCTGTATCGCCGTTCCATCGGCATTCGCAAAAGGTCGCCCAAGGTGGGACAATCTGGATGAGCGTGCACGACAACCATGGGCCGTAAATCTATCAGCCGGTCGACTTCAAATTGGATCTTACACCCGCGTTGATTTACATACGCGCGTCATGTCTGCGGGAAAGGATAATTAATGGAGAACGGAGGAAGAATGTTACTTGTACGTAAGCCACCACGGGATTCTCTTACACTCCTACATACATACGTACATACATATATGCACCAACACTACGCGGCATTCGTTCTCCATACCACTTTCGATTAGTTTCACCGTTAAATATCTATTATCCAAGTTATACACAAAACAAAAACCTGTTTGTGATAGAAAATGGATTTTAAAGTCAGTAGTAATCAAATTTCGTGTTGGAAAATAGTCGCGAATTAGAACAAGTAGAGGTAGTTTAGAATCTCGTGGGTCATGTCCTTAGGTTGCTCAATGACAAAACTCCTCTTGTTCATTGCGTTTTACTTCTCACTAAATATATTGACCGTTGTTTAAATAGTTAATAGTCGGGCTTTAGATGTTTTTGCTCTGTACAGCGTGTTTCTGTAGTAAGCTTTGGAGGGGGTTAACTAGGGAATCGCATGGCGTTTAAGGGGCAAACAAGCCGGCCCTGCGTTACTATACATAATCATTAGACATCCATTACTGTTCATCGCTAGTATGCACTATTTTGCACTGACCTATGACAGTGACACATTGATTTACTTCTAATGACTTCGACTGTCTATATATACATATATTCATATATATATATATGTAATACAAGTCTGCAACATTAAAAGAGCAAATAACTATTCTAGGTGCAAAAGTACAGAAGAAATACAGCATGGATTCTGTAACGTAGCAGCTGATTGAATGCGCCGTTGCGTTGTCGTATTTGCCTGCGTGGTTTTACTAGGGTCGGATTTGCCGATACCTGTGCTTTTATATAAATTTTTCTCGAAATCGATGAACATTCGGACCATTAAACATAATATCAAGCAGCAGTTAATAGACATATCGTCATCTCGGTAGTCCTTCTTTATCGAGGCTGTCTATGAAGTCCTGATGAGGACTAATAAGTTCCAAATCGCGATCTACGTCCTGCAGTACCGATGAATTACTGACCAAAAATTTAATGTCGTATAAATATAAAATATGCGGAAATTTTGGTTTGGTTTGTTTGACAACAGGAAATGTGCGCTATTCATGGAACTTGTATAAAATCTCCCGATTCCATTTTCGTTGAGTGGCAATCCTACCTCACTTAGGATCATGCAAAGGACTGGCGTATCTTAATTTCGCATGCGACCCTTGTGCCGAGTCCTCCTCTTTCGACTTTACGTTAAATAAAAACGTCAAACGACTTATGATCCTAAATGACTGGTAGTAGAAGTGATCGCATGAAGGAAAGGTGGAAAGGAAGAGTGGCCATTTAGAGCTTATGACCCGCGCGATCCTATTATTCCCGGACCAGCTCGGGATAGCATTAAGAGTCACATTCAGAATAACTGCGATGTAAAATGGCACTTCTTCCCGGAATAGGTAGACACGGATGGGGCGATATCTCTAAGTATTGTACTAAAATTTCCATACGCGGACGACCTAATAATAGGATAAAGGACTGCTCAACTACTCGATGGAGAAACGGTTGTAAAAATGAAATTTTTATTAGTAAGGAATTTTAAATCTGTCGTTAAACTGTAGCTCACTGTTTTGTACAGAGTTTCAAAATGAATTTTTGGTAGGATACTTGGACTTTTTTGGAAAACTTATTAATCATACCAAATTATTAAAGTATATTTTTTGTAATCGATTTGTAACTAAAGCAAGATGATTATGCGAGTCGAGGGTTACAAAGTTTGAACTGTTAGATATGATGACATACGATTTTGAAGCAAATGAACTAATTGAAATTTTCCAGAAAATCAAATCGATTTTGAAGCTGTTGTGATTTTTGCCCATGATTTACACTATCTGTGGTAAATGTAGCCTATCTATGCTATCACTAGACGGTATACAGTCATTACGAGACATACATTTTCACTAAATAAAATAATTCGAAGTGGTTTGTATTCTGTCGAAACTGCCAGACGCGGATCGCGATTTCGATCTTTTTGGATCTCATCAGCGCGTCGCAGGCAGCTCCGACAGAACACAGACCAACTTTTACCTGCTGTCTTAACAGCGCGTTTTAGAAAATACGACAAATGGCGCTGTAAACGCCATCTGTAGTACAGTGCTGCATTTTGCTATTTCAGCTGAAGCATATGTAATCCTAAAATGTAGCACTCTACAGATGGCGTTTACAGCGCCATTTGTCGTATTTTCCCATACAATTTCACTATTTATTTGATTGAAGCGGTAGAAGTTTGGTATCTCCGGAAACTATCTGCCTATATTGAAAATTCGAATTTGATTTTATTTTTTTTTTTATGAAAATAGCAGGCAAACTTCCCTTATTCTTAAGTTATTTGAAACCGATAAAAGGCGCGCTACGTCTAATCTAAAACCCTTACTTATTCAGGATTTACAACAATAAAAACATATATTTTTTATGCTCCCAATAGGGCGTATGTCGTTATGTCACATTTTAATTGTAACTTCTGTCTTTTTAGAGAAAATGTCACAGTTAATTTAAATTTCTTATTTTCATTGGTGAATTTCCCGTTCCATTTATTTCATACCTTTGTCTCTTATATTTCTTACAAGATGACAGTAAAAGGCTGTTTTTTGACAGCTTTACGATCTTATTGAGCTATTGATTACAATTAAACTGTTTTGAAAAGTATTTCTTGGCATAATATCCGCTAATCGAATATTTAATTTCCTGATTCGTGCGTCTTGACTTTCGCGCCATCAGATTAGTTCGTCGATAAATGTGTTGATTTTTTTCACGTGTCCAGTAGTTTCCGTCACCATGCCAACTTTGTCATTCCGTATTGCAATTAAACGGCAAGAAACTGCTGATTAGGAGTCCAGTAAGGCGTCGTAAATTGTTTTTTTGCTGCAAGCATCGCCCGGCCACTGTACCAACTCTCGCATGCCTTATTTAACTTGCAAAATTGAAGAGATTGCATCTCTGGAGACCCGCTTTTTACCAATTTAATTGCAAAGACGGAAATAGTGACTTTTTGTCGGGTTTATGCCGCTCCGAACGTTATCATCACGCTCTCGGACACAGCCGCCACCGACGCGGTCATTCCGGGTCACCGTGAGGTCTCTCATGTAAAGTGTACAAATCGGCCGCGCTCGTTCTTTGATAAGTCGCACCCAGGTGTAGGAAATTGTGTAGAGCCGCGGGCGAAAAAATCCATGCGGTTTTATAAGAAAAAGGCCGACCACAGAGTGTTGTTCGAACTACAATACAACAATCGTTATAATGATGTCAACGAATACACCTGCACTTGTACATCTTCAGTTTTTTCACAATATTACGTGCCGTCAGGACAAAAATAAGACATATGTATGTAATTGATAATGTATTTCTACAGTTGACGAAGTTGGGCTTTTCATGGGTTCTGTACATAAACCACAATCTTCGAAACATGAAATAATGAGTCAGGGAAATGGTCATGAGTTTTCGTTAAACCCACGCGTAATCACAAACTTGAAGTGATGAAGTTCTGCAGTCAGGGAAGCATCTTAAATGGACATGGGTTTTTTGTGAATCCTGCACATAAACCATAATGTTGGAGGCATGAAACTACGAAATTTTTCTACAGTCAAAGACCTTAATGGACATGGGTTTTTGTGAAACCTGTGTACATACCATAACATGAAATGATGAGGTGTTTCTACAGAGTCAGGGAAAAGGATATGAGTTTTTCTTTAAACCCACTCATAGTCATAAACTTGAAGTTATGAAGATCAGCAATCAGGGAAGCATCTTGAATTGACAAGGTTTTTTCGTGAATCCTGCACATAAACCATAATGTTTGAGGTATGAAACGATGAAGTATTTCTACACTCAAAGAACTCAATGGAAATGGGTTTTTGTGAGACCTGTGTATATACCATAACCATCGAAACACGAAATTATGCAGTTTTTCTACGATCAATGAAAAACCTTAAGAGCTTATGAGCTTTTTGTGAGACCTATATATAAACCGTAGTCTTGGAGCTTTGACAGCCCGACAGTGAAGGAGAAACATGAATTGGGTTTGAGGTTTTGAGTGACCTGTACATAAACCACAACTGTCGAAACATAAAATGATGCAGTGTTAGTACAATCTATAGTCTTGGAGACCTGATATGATGAAATATTTTAGCAGTCAAGAAGAAACATGAATTGGACTTTAATCTCTTAGTCTTGTTGTAAAAATTACAGCCGAAGATGGACGAAACATCGAGAGGTTTTGCAGTTTTTTGCAACAAAGTCCTTGCTTAATAGATTCAATCAAATAAATCAATAGAAGTTAAATTTCAAGAAGAAATTATTGACAGGTTTTACATTTGCTCATCCCGAAGGCGAGCAGTTTAAGTGCTACATAATTTCAACGGGTATCTTGAAAATCTATTTGAAGTGAAATTTACAGTATTATTTACGAAGAATCCGAGTTAGTGAAAGTGAATTTGTAATCGAATCCTTGTTTGGAGCGTTGAAATAGGTATGCAGGTGGATTTTTGTTAAACGCATGTGGTGTGTAAGTTATGGAACGACTGCGGTTGTTTGGGGTCAGCGTGCGGTTTGTGAAAAAGCTTGAAGTTGCGTTGGTGCACGGTTTCTTCAAAAGTTAATTTTCCTCCTAATTTGCAAATAAATTACAGAAATATTCTCGAATAGCCGGGGATACAAGCCGCACTCGATCTGTGTGGCTTGAATGATGTGGAAACAATCCTACCAAAGGTTAAAGGATAACGCACTTGTTACGTTCCTTGCGAACTTTAAAAGATGAAAATTAGATGCGTTGATTTCAACTGTAAGAACTCACTTTCATATCTAACAATTGCCACTATTCATAAATTAGGTACTTTACAGCCGTAATATTCAGTTGTAGTTTATACCATTACGTTTCACAGTACGCTTAGCAAAATATGATTAGAGCTTTTACGTACTTATGTAGGTACAGTTCAAGTAATTATTTATAAGGAGTTTCACGCTCACTTTCCTCATAATGATTCGCATAAACAGTATACCGGGTATTCCCTAGAACTGGCTCAAAATTAACACCACAACCAATAATGAATGAAATATTAATGTTTATAAATTTATTCTCAATTTTATCCATTATCAGTTACCTCAAATTAATAAAAATAAATTGTTTCTGTTGTCGCCCTCGCCGGGAATCGAACCCGGTACCTTTGGATTTACGTATCAATAGTCTGACCACTAAGCTAGGAGAATGAATTTTCAAATTAATATTTCATATTAGCCACTAGGAATTTCAAGGTATTTCGATAATAAACATGAAAAATTACTTTCTAAACGAATTGGGGAATTATTATAAACCGTCAGAAATTTTGTTTTGTACAGAACAGGATGTATAAAACTAGATGTCAAGTCAGATGAAATGGGATAAGTTACGACTTTGTTTAAATAAATACTACTACGTCATCCTCAAGTCTAACCATGCTAATATTTTGCCTCTGTATGTCTATCCCTAAAGTCCAGTTAGATTGTTTTCTAAAGACTGCGTTCCTTGGAATTATTACAACTGTATACTTCATTAAAATATTTTGCGATTTTACCTGTGGCCATGTCTGCGTTGGTGCTGAAGAGAACGCAGAGTCCCGTTTCGTAGTTGACAGCGTAACAGGATTCGTTAGCTTGACAGGATTCCAGACAGTCGGAGAGCATCAGTGTTCCAGGGATAGATTCAAGGACGTTGTTTGGTGCTGAGAGAACGAAGCCGGTTATAAGTTCGAAACCTACTCGGTCTGGATCGCAATCTTCCATTTGGGAAGGGACACCCGGAGGTGGCGCCGAGGGTTGCTTAGCCAGGGCTTCTGCACTGTCACCTAAACCCGATGGGGACGCCATCTGGCCCAGGACTACCGCAGCACCGAACAGTAGCAACGAAGGTATGCTTGTGGTCAACATTATTTAAAAATGTCGGCTGTGTTTGTTGGTGTTGACAATGACTGGTTCTGTAATTTAAAAAAATCGGTCGTTAGTAATTATTGTTCACTCCAACATGCTAGGGAAGATATAAGACAAAAATATTAAATAGATAATGGTTAGCAATAAAGGACACAGTGAAATTGTGTCCAATTTGAAATACAGTAAGACCCCGCTTAACGCTGTTTCGTTTAGCGCTGTTTCGGTTTAGCGCTTTTTTATTCCAACCTGGGGATTCCCCGAAATTGTATGCAGCGCTAGGTTTCCAAATATTAGTGCTGCATTGAATTTGGCAACTTCAACAATAAGGACAATTGTTAACAATAAAGAAAAAATGGAAAAACGACTATCTGTATGGATTGACGATGAAATTGAACGCAATATGCCATTAAGCCAATCTATCATAATGGAAAAAGCTAGAAGAATTTTTAATTACATTCAGGTTGAGGCAAGTGACATAAGTGAAATTTTCGTTGCTAGTCGGGGATGGTTTAATAGATTTACACATCGAATAATCTTCGCAACATAAAGATTACAGGAGAAGCAGCAAGTGGTGATACGAAAGTGGCTGCTGAATTCCCAGCAACATTAAAAACAGTAATTGAACAAGGAAACTATCCTCCAGAATTGGTTTTTAATGTTGATGGAACAGGCCTAACCACTACTAGTTTACCACTCCAAAAACCTAATAAAAATGTTCTATCCATCTTCCCCTAACCCCATTATGTACATGTTAAGATAGTCTCGTTTGGAGCTGTTTCGCATTATGCTCTACTTTGATGGAACGTATCCTACGCGTTAAGCGGGGTCTTACTGTACTTGTTTTTATTAACTCTGACAGTCTCCAAAGATTATAATTGATATTTTGTATTTTATGTAAATGCCCGCAAATTGGTAGCACATTGCTACAGTCTCGCGTTGATAATGCCCACGTGTGAAGTGGGCGAAGCGCGTGTTCGCTCATATAAAGTTATTTGTGGTAATTAGGGGTGAGTGTTCCTTTTAATTTTTTAATTAATATTTGCCACAGTCTCCTCCTTCTATATTTTTTTACATTGCTCGTTGATTATACATATTAGAACATTAAGTTCTTAATATGCAATTTATCATGGATTGTGATTCCCGTCAATCCTCGAGGTAATTAATATCAAGAATTGGCAGTGTATCTACATATAGACAGTCATCTCTAGATTTCTGTTCCCAGGAGTAATTTTGCATTACTTTAGCAAAGTAATAACTTGCCAAACGGAATTAATTACTTCATATTAATTATTTTACTCGAATGGAGTAAGTTTGGTGCAGTCGGTGATTCATCGGAACTATCAGCTGAAGAAACTAGATTTCAGAATTGATGAAATCCTCATGACACATCACGATGATGCAGAAACAATTGGAGATCCTGCATCGACAACGTGAAGTTCCTAAAGATGAGATTGTGAAGAAAGATGAAATATCAAACACCATGATCCGATTAGAATCCGGAAGTTCAGTTTCTTCAGATGACAACCGTGAAAGTCCAAATCAACTTCTAGCTTAGATATGTAGATATGCCGCCAGTTATTTACTACAGTACTTATGCTATCGTTTATTAGAATTTGAGACAATGATTTCATTAAAATCCACTTTTTCTCTAGTCTTGACTCATACCATTTCAGTTCAATTACCTCAACAACCGTTATAATAAAAAAATATTTTTTACCGATTGTTTATTACAAAGCTTCTGATAGAGTTTAGTGAAAATTGCATAGAGACCATTACTGTTCTACTAATAACAAATTTACATAAACTAAAGACGTGCCTTTCCTTGATTTTGTATATTAACTATTGACAGTTAAAGTTGATGAAGATGTGGCTTTTATGTTGGCTGGTTCATACGGAGACGGAAGAAATTATATTAAAACTAATTGGTTGACTACGCGTGTTGTTTTTTTTTGCATTCGCTCTGAATTATTTATTATTTCAGGTAAGGACTATTTCTCCTTCTATAAATCTGCCTAATGAGGACATTCCATTTAATTCGTGCTTGGAAATAAATTGTGTATTGCGTAGTTTTACGAGCCATACTGTTAAACGTTATGCATGCACCGACTATTAATCTCAATTTATGCAAATTAATTCGCGATGATAAGCCACAACGGCGATCGATGCTGTGAGAAACTGATCCAGATCCACTTTCGATTTTTCTAAAACTGCACACATAACTGTTAAGTTGATAGTTCTCTGGTACTTTTTTCTCTTGTCGAAACCTTTCTTTAAAATCAAAGCAGGCATGTTTCCTTGAGAACTGGATTATGAAACGTGGTGCAAGGCATCTTATCCAAATAAGACGACGTAGTCATCAGTTTTATTTATGTCGTTAGCAGTGTATGCAAATGACAATTAATATTTGTAACGATTACTTAATTACAACGTCTCTACGATAACTGATTGTTAAGTAGTACCCACTTACATGCAAATTTACTTTAAAATACTTTAAGGAAAAATTATTGCTGCTGTCATGTCCTCGCCGGGAATCGAACCTGGGACCTTTGGCTTTGCGCATGTGTGATAGCTGCAACGATTTTTTCTCATTACTTTGAGGTAATTTTTAGTGGATAAAAGTTAAATGACTTTTCACATTAATATAAAACAAAGATCTTTAAGAATTATTAGAGGAAAGTAATAGTAGTTGAAAATAAGCGAAATACAATTTAAAAGGAACTTTTTACTTTTTATACTCATCATCTGTTTGTCGATGGAATAGCTAGTCTAAGAAAAGCGTCGTGTAGATATGTTTTAACAAATTATTAATTACTTAATGGTTTTAATGAGCTGCAGCATGGTAATAAATCAATAGACAGTCGATCTAAGATAGAAAAATTAAGAATCGCTGTTTGATGAGCGACATTGTCACAAAATCTCCTTGCGCAGGCGTCAAATTTGAAGCGCATTGTATTATTGCGCAACGACTTGCCGAGTACAACTTGGTGACGTTTTACGGCTCGTGCTGTGCGTTAATCGCCCTTATGTATTTTCTGCTTCTATCTCTGGTCTTTAAATTACTAGAAGATTATGTAAATATGTGTCATTTGTATAGTGATAAAATTGTTACAAAATAGGAACCCAGGGGCATTTATCTAGCCATATAACAGTAAATGTATGTTTTTGTGGTTAATCTTCCTCATGAAAAGTTTTTACGATTCGATTCATGTGACGTCGAGGCTCTTAAAGTTCATTAGATGTTTTAGTAGGAAATCAGTTAATTTTCGTTCTTTTTGTTCATCCTGCTTGTATCTATCTTATATGTTTGAGTTAACGGGAATGATTGAATGACATAAAGTTAACGAGTTGTTTATAGTTGTGTTTATAATGTTGTTTAAACATTTATGACTGCTTTCTAAATCTTTCGCTCGTTTGGTAAAATAATTACAAAGGATTGAAATGTTAATGGCTGCCGTAAAGATTCGTGAAGTCTTATTTAGTTAAATTATCGCCCTTGGCTGAATAAACATTGTGCTTATCAACTTAATCTTCCTTAATAATAATCGATTTCGAAAGTAAATTAATTACTTTCTTGTTAGCCATTTGATATAGGTACGACAGTTAACAATAAACCTCAATAGATGGCGTTACACTAACCATAATTTGATATTAAATCAACTTGGTTCTGTGTTTGTAGCGTACTGATGAGAGCTAATGTTCGAAGTAAATATTACAGAAATTCTGTGAGAATGTCATTAGTGACATTCATGTAGCATATTAGGTGTGAGTATCAGAGTTTGTTAAGGCTCTCGAAACATTCTTGCATGCATGATAATAATCTCATTAAAAATACAACGTTGATGATAGGGAAATTTGCTTAGATTAGATCATAAAACTGCGAGTTTATGGTCAATACTACATATTGCGTAAAACAATTAGATAAGTGTCTCCATTATAAAAAGTCAGGCTAGGGGTACCTAGTATTTTTTCATTCTTCCAATTAAGGCTATCAAATCGGTGATTAGAAGAAAGAAATGGTAAAGAGGTTGTATTAAAAGATTTCACACCCGAGATAGTGTGAATGGCAGCGCTATTATTACATCTATTTGCATAATAGTTATCGGTTAACAAGTGCAATTTAGATGGACTGACAAAAGAGCGAGAAAGCACTCCAATTGCGCCTACAGTAACTTCTAGAGTCTAAACCTAACATTTCTAGCATTATTTTTATATTGTTTGTTGTTGTATTTATTAATAAGTCCACTTCATTATGTACGTAATTGGATGTAATTTTAGTAGAATATTAATAATAATCAATTTCACGATTTTAGAAAGATTGACCAAATATATTGGTAATTAAGATTGTTGTAGGAACTTAAAGTTAAGTTTAATAAATATAAGAGGTAACGCAATAAAGACCCTTTTTTTATTACAGATATCGACCGGTTACACTGAACTTATGGCATAGTTTTTAACAGAACAATCAGTTAGGTCTCATTAGCACACCAGAAACACAGAAGCTGCTGTTGCTTAAAATTAAATGTCATATGTACATATTTGTACCTAATTGTTGTTTTATTAAACTTAGGTTACCGTTTTCACTAAGCGTCTGGTTATTATTGCAAACTGTTTTTGAAATAAGTAGGAAGGGCCAGTCCGGCCCTGATATGACTCCATTTTTGATTCATGCATTGCTTGTAATTGTTATTGACGTTGGTTATACTACAGCCAGCCTAGAGTAGTTCTTTGTCGTTGTTGGCTTGTATGTATGTAGTCAGTCGAAGTCATTGGCAGCAGGTCAGTGTGCCAGTGTCATAGGTCAGTGTATAATAGTATCTAAACAGTTTCCTAGACGCTGGAGCTGGGGCTGGAGCCCTGTACCTCGGTAGGTGCTTAGCCGGGTCTAAATCGGCTTGACTTCGGGTTGTATGAGACAGCTCATGTATCAAAAGCCAGTGCAAGGATAATTGTTGGAAATGAAATAAGTCAAATGCCGGATGTTTTTGCAGGACTCAGAAATAATTTTGGAACATTCCTTGCAGCCTATCTTTTAGCACGAGGTTCGAAT